TCGTTAAAAACCTCTCTTGGAAAACCCATTGGGACAAAACCAAGAGGAGGGAAAAAGAGTGCAAGTCACACACCTCCAATGATGTCACTTAAACGGCTTGAATCACAACCAACGTGGTTGGACAAGCTTCCGGTTTAAGGCTGCCTTCCATGTGTTGTAGAAGTGTGTTGATAGCTTGATTCAACAACTTAGTCTTGGATCTTGTCATTGGTCCAGTAGCAACTTGCAATGACATATCCTCTTCAGCTCCAAGTGAATCAGGCTCCTTAGCTCTCTCTGTGGTCGAGTATCCCTTTGGTGCAGCTCCATACTCGATCACATCCTCATCTTGGTGGTCGAGTATATCTTCAACATGGTGGTCGAGCATGTCTTCAACATGGTGGTCGAGTGTGTCTTCAAACTGATCCTTAGTTCCTTGATCCAAGCTTACCATGCTCACATCACAATGATGGAAAAATTAGCTTTAACAGTGGTCGTATCTGCTAGGAAACTCAGACCCTATTTCCAATCTCATCCGATAGAAGTTTTAACTTCTCATCCGCTTCGCTCAATTCTTCACGGACCAAGTCAGTCCGGTTGATTGGCGAAATGGGCTATCGAACTCAGTGAGTACAATATAGAAAATAAAAGTCGAACTAGCGCAAAAGCACAAGTTCTGGCTGATTTTCTAACCGAACTGCCATTAGATGACGGAACCCTTATCGAAACAGACTCTACATGGAAATTACACGTAGATGGTTCTTCTTCTAAACAAGGATGCAGAATCGGTATTAGGTTCGAAACTCCGACAAAAGAAATAATCGAACAATCATTTTGATTAATGTTCCCGGCCTCGAACAACGAGGCGGAATACGAAACTCTCTTAGCAGGACTTCGGCTTGCTCTTGCAATTGGAGTAGAAAAAATAATACCTTACTGTGATTCTCAACTAGTTGTAAACCAGTTCGCTGTAGATTACGAAGCTAAGGCACCTCGAATGGAAGCCTACCTTTTGGCCGTCAAAAAGTTAGCTGGAAGATTCAAAGAATTCGAATTAGTTCGAATACCTCGAGGCGAGAACACTTTGGCAGACGCTTTAGCTGCCCTAGCTTCTACCTCAGATCCTGAACTCAAGCGAGTGATTCCAGTTGAATGCATTTCTTCACGAAGTATTTCGGATGAAGAAACAGGTAACGATAATATTTTGGAGGTCGAGCATATCGAAACTCCAGAATTAAATACCGACAACAAGAACAGTTCGCTTGTTGTCACTAGATCACGAGCAAAGTCTCAAGATGACGAGCTTACTCCACAAACAGAACTTCCTAAAAGAAAGCCGAGAAGAAAACTAAAAGATCAAGAGGTTCCCATTAAAGAACCATCTCGAGCTGAACAGTCACTTCCGGATACCGCAAATAACGAAGAAGTTATGGTAAATGATCCTGATATTCCTTCCCAGCCGGAACCAAGGAAGTTTATACTCAAGGATAATACTTCCGCTAATTATTGGGGGGCTGACTGGAGGGTACCCATCAAAAACTTCATTCTTAATGGAGAACTACCATCGAACAAATGGCAACCTCACAAATTAAGAATCATCAGCGCTAAGTATTGTATAATTAAAGAATCATTGTACAAGCGAGGCGTCAGTGATCCATATCTTTTATGTATTTCCGGGCCCGAAGTTGAAATAGTGACAAGCGAGGTCCACGAAGAGCTTTGCGGCAGTCATTCTTTAGGACGAGCAATGGCTTTCAAAATTAAACGGTTAGGATATTTCTGGCCAACTATGATTTCTGACTGCATCGATTACGCCAAACAGTGTAAAAAATGCCAGATGCACGCTCCTCTTATTCACCAGTCATCTGAATTTTTATCATCTATATCCGCTCCATACCCTTTCATGAGAAGGTCAATGGATATAGTTGGCCCGATGCATCGCTCAGAGCGAGGCGTCCAATACTTATTAGTTCTAACGGACTATTTTTCCAAATGGATCGAAGCTGAAGCTTACGTAAATATACAAGATTCTGTGGTAAAGACATTCTTTTGGAAACACATTATTTGTCGCCATGGAGTTCCTTACGAAATAGTAACGGACAATGGTCCACAGTTCATTTCAAATGAATTTGAAGATTTTTGTTCCTCTTGGGGGATAAAACTTAGCTATTCAATGCCGAGGTATCCTCAAGGAAATGGGCAAGTGGAAGCTTCCAATAAAACCATTCTCAGCAATCTTAAGAAACGTTTGAATGCTCGAAAAGGTGGTTGGTATGACGAGCTGCGACCTGCGTTGTGGGCATATCGAACAACCCCGAGACGAGCAACGGAAGAAACTCCATTCTCATTAGTATATGGGATGGAAGCAGTAGTCCCAGCCGAGCTGAATGTTCCCGGTTTACGCCGGAGCGAAGCTCCACTTAACGAAGAACTGAATTCTAAATTATTAGAAGACGTTCTCGATACAATTGATAAAAGTTGAGACCAATCCCTTATTCGACTTCAGAACTATCAACAGTTGACCGCTCGATACTATAACTCAAAGTTGAAAAACAGATCTTTAAATGTAGGAGACTTTGTTTTAAGGCGAGTGTTCGATAACACAAAAGAAGAAGGAGCTAGAAAACTCGGTATTAACTGGGAAGGCCCTTATCAAATCACAGAAAAAATCCGAAATGGCGTACATACCATTTACAGGACCTTGACGGTAATCCCGTTCAAAGGCCTTGGAATATCATCAACTTGAAAAAGTTCTATTGCTAAAGCAAACATAATCGAACTACGTTTTGGCTTGATCCCGCTTCGGGTACGTAGGCAGCTCGCTAAACACGAGTCCAGCTATAACATAAAAATAAAAATATTATTCCTATCATGGAGTCTTGTTTTTATAAATTCGATATTCGAGCATAAATATAAAAATACGTTGCGAACAATGTATGAAAAAATATTTTTAGCTAGAGCAAAAACTAGATCTAGAAGGGTTTTGGATTACAGAATAGCTTTGCTCTTTGGCCTGCGAGGTCAACGATGCTCAGAATGCAACCTGGCATGTTTCCGTACTCCTGGAGTCCTATCTCGATCCAATCGGAAGGATGGGCTTCGAGGCGATGAAGCTCGCGAGCAATATCGAGGCGACGCTTCTCTAGTTCCATTCTCTTTCTTCTAATCTCTTTTTTCTCATCTTCGAGCTCGTTCTGCCGAGTAATAAGCTGGAGAAAACAAAATGCTTTGTTTAACAAACAACGAAAGGAGTCAAGTTACTAGGTTGAACAATACCTTGTTAATAAACTCTTTAGCCTTGACACGATCTTGTGCTGATTAACACATTTGGAACCTGAATGCTGATTCCCCATCCTAACGTATGTGGCTCTTCTGGTTCGCCAGTTGATTCTGTTTTTACAAGCTCGATGTCTGGCGTTTCCAGAAGATCATCGCTTATCTTTTTAAACGATTCGGATGGATTCTCTGAAGAATCACCTTCCTTGAACATTTTTGTAGAATTATTGTTGATTAAATTCAATAATGAGCTACACCTACTCTATATTCGATATATACTCAATCACATTTAAGAGGATCAATTGACATTTCCCAAAATCTGAAATTACTTCCTTCGTGGAAAATGTAAGCGAGTTAATCACTAATTATATTCCCTAGATTAACGCATTAAATAAGATTTGAGTAAATCGGCAAATTTAAAGCAAAAGAGAAAATATAATTAATGTCGCTGGGCCACCAGCCCAATAGCATTATTACAAACAAAAGTAAATTAAGGGAATTGTTCGATCAAAAGTCTTCGTCCGATAACGATTCCAGCAAAGTGGATGATCCCGAGCAGCTTTCTGAAGATAACCCCTCGTCAGTAGATAAATCGAGGAGACCGGAAGAATGATCAATTGATTTCGCCTCCGTTTCTTCGTTTTCTTCAGTTCTTAGCATCAGAAATCTCCGAAACTCTGAAGAACATGAAACAAAAGAGGATCCGTCGCCAGTTGTTAAGGATAGATGTGATAATCTGTCCAGCGCGCGGAGGAATCTTCGAAGGCAAGAAGGAATGATAGCCACGATATCTAAACCCTTCCTCTCCCACTCATGCGGTTCAGATTCGAGGCGATGGATCTCTCTTTTTATCTTCCTTATCCGCTCGTTAAGAGCACGACGCCTCCTTCCGATTCTTTGTCTCTTATCACATAAGGCTTTATGTCTCCCAACGATCTGTTTGAGTAAACATTTTGTCAACTGTCTGAAAGAGAATATACAGTTTTCTGAAAAGACTAAAAATTAGAAAAGGAACCTTATCCAGGAAGTCGTAATATTTGACCCTTTCTTTCCCCGTTCGGGAATGAAAAAACGTAGGGTGAATGACTCCCTTTGGAGAGAATCCGTCTTCGGATTCAAACAATGGGTCCCCGTTCGAAGTTGTTATTCTTGAGCTTGACCTGAAGGAGGATAGCGGCATATTTCAGTTTTGTTTCTTGCAGTAAACTGTGAGAATTTTTCAGAATCCTTTTAAGGAAGAAAGGTGTTCGGACTCTTTTCTAAAAAAAAAAAAAACATAACGGGCCTGCTAGAGCAGACTTCGAGTCCAATTAACGCGTGGCCCATTATCCCCAAAGCCATTTTCAGGCTATAATCGAAGCCATTGCCTGGTCATTTTTATGGCAAGATTCTCATGAATTATAAAAATCTTATCCCGCGATAAAGAAAAACTTAAGCCGAGCTCCATCCTCGCTTCCGAGAGACCGGGGAAAAATACTTGTTAAGATTTTTTCTTTAAAAAAGGCAAGTGAGCCTGATCAGCTCATCTCTCACAATTCATAATGGTGGGGTAGGACTTGCAAACCACTTTAGTCCAGACCTCTTCGTCTTTGGTAAACTTCGTAATAGATTGAATAAGTTGCCTACCGAAGCCCCCTCATCTCTTCTCGAGCGTAATGTTTGGCTTCAGCGATATCGCGAGCCCTATTCCTAATTAAAAGTTCGGCCTTTTGGTTCGTTTCTTCGAACAAAGCCGTAGCCTCTTCTTACTCAGTCTTCAAGCGAAGAGCATTAGACCTCGCAAAATCTCTTTCAGCATTCGCAATTCTGATGCGTTGCTCGTTAGCTGCCAGAGTCTTCTTCATATTCTCAAAAGACGACTCGAGGGCTTTCGCCTTCTCGAGTCGCTCAGACTGATTGACTAATTTAAGTTCATCAACCTCCTTATTAGCCTCTGCGGTCTCTCTCATCGCTTGGTGAAGAAGGTTCTCATAATGGAAGATCATTCCATTAGTCTCCATAAACGCCTTCAGAGTAAAAAAAAAATGTCATTCAGACAAAAAGTTTTTTACTTAAGAAAAAGGGGTTGTCATAACCAAAATCTAAAAGATCCGAACCTGGGATAGGTAGTAGGCTCGATTGATGTACATCTGACAAATTTCCGGCCTCCAAACCGAAAAAGGGGGAAGGGATGCCCCTCCCCTGGTTTGAAAACTTCGGAAGATGTCTCCAATCTCTTCTCCGCCTACAAACAAAGGAGAATAGTAGATTAATAAAATAGCTGCAATCTGTAGCAAGTCTTGCTAAGGCTCGCGTTCTAAAAAAAAAAAAAAACTTACTAGTTTCAGAAATCGAAGCGGGTAAAGGGTTTTGAGTGCTAACACTCAATCCTTGAGACGAGGGAACCTCCGGTCTCGGCTCGTCGATTTCTTCTGGAATTACTCTGTCTCCCGGAAGAGGGAGCTCAGAGTCTAAAGGTTCTGAAGAGGGGAAAACAGAATGCAAAGGGCTAGGGGCTCGTAACGGAGAACTTAATCTAACGGTTTTGAGTTTCTCGTTTGATAAAGTATCTGAGTCTGGAGCCTTCCTCTTTGTGTAAGGAGAAGAAGTTACATCTCTCTCTCTCTCTCTCTCTTGTGCGGAAGGGCAAATAGCGGTGGCAACTGGAGGGTTGTTAGGAATCTCGGCTCCATGAGTATCCACCGCAATTGACAAAGCCGCTTCTAAGGAACCGTCATCAACCAAGAGGGTCTTCCTGTGGAAGTTACCAACCCTGGAGATTGCATCTATCCGCTTCTTTTTCCCGATTTCGGATAATTGATCCTTAAGAACCTTAGTCTCGACAAGCATTTTTCTCTTATCCCGAGCATTCAGGCTCGAGGCGTCTTTTTCTTCAGAAGGAGGATTGAGAGGGTGAGTTTGACCATCTTTGATAGCGAGCCCCGTTTTATGAATACGTTGAAGGGTGAAGGAATTCCAATTTGTTTCACCCTCGGAAACGATTCGAAAGAAAGATAAGAAATCAACAGTTGGACGAGGAATAATCTGGTTCCCTGAAATAAAATGTTGAGTTAAGAATTCTATGTCTTTCACACAAAAACAGTGAAAGATAATAAAGGATGATTCTAACCAAGTTTAGACGACCAATTTGGGAGAAGAAGACTAGAAAGCCCTTGGACGGAATGAGGATTAACTCAGAAAAAGAACCAGTATTTTTTCCAAGGCCCATCATTCAGGGGCATTCCGTCGATGAGGTTTCGGTCAAAAATAGGATTTATGGAAAAAATACACGCTGCTGTAGACTCACGGGCTCGAAATAGCCCTAGGAGTTCGCTAGTGGTGAGAGAAAACCCTGCCTCTGCTGAGACGGTCAGGGTGCTCAGGACGTACCAGAGAAAGTTGGGAGCCATTTGGGGAAAAGCGATCCCTAGATGGAGGAGGTACAAAAGGAGAAATTCCGATATGGGAAAAATAAACCGCAACCTTTGAAATAGACTTTGTACGCACAACAGTAACCTTCTCGTACTATTTCCTGAGACTCGTTGGGTCTAGGATGAGAGAATTCTATTTCTTGAGGAATGTTACAAAGGCGACGAAGAGCGCTAAGGGAAGCATGGGTCGATTGAGACCTGAAATGCGGACCGAATTTATCTCCCCTTTGGGTAAAGACTTCGTTCCCTCTGGGAACAGGGATTCCTCGACTGTCGTCTTCGTTGTTTGAGACGTAGACGGCTGGGGAAGTCATTTTTCACTAAGAGATTTTTCTTTCTCTGGTTTGGTAAAAGCTTTAGAGGTGAATGTACGCTGTAAAAGCCGTCGTTCCATTTAACCATATTTAGCGGAAAACTGCCTCGAGAATATTGGGAAGTGGGACAGTTTTCCCCACAGTATTAATATAAAATTAAGAAATTAATGATGACGGTTGTCAGGGATATCAAATCACTTGAGTATCCGAGATCGGCGTAATAGCGTAAAACATGGAGAAATTCCAGAATGTTAAAGATTTCGATTCATTAATTACTGTTTACTTAAATCTTCCAAGCCGAGCACTCAGCTCGCAAGACTTTGGGGGCTAAATGTTGGGGTCGGATCCCACACATTTTTGGTAGGATCCACTTGGATCTGTCCACGTCATTATTACATAATAATCCTCTTGGAATTAAAGATATTTTATTATAAAAATCGAGTTTAACTAGACGGGAGTTCGGTTCAGTCTAGGAGAAGAGCTCGATCCTTGCCAGTATGGAGTTCGTTCTTATTAGACAGTTCGCATAGAAGAAGGCCGAAGCGAGGAGAATATTGTTCGAGGCTCGCGGTAGCGTCAAAGCGCGGGAGTTCGGAGTCAGCAAGAAAGAATTCGAAAGATCCACGCGAAGCCCAAGATAGTTCAAATTCAAGCCGTTTCGGTCAAATTGTAACCTACATGATTAATGCGGATCAATGCGATTATGAGCAGTAAATGACCGCATTGATCATGTTTTCTCTATAAAAACAACCTCAAACGCATGTGTTTGGGAGGACGAATCTTTTTACTGATTACTTCTAAGCAATACAATATACTTTCTCTCTTTATTACTTTCGCAAGGCATTTTGTATTTCGTTCTTGTCAAATTTCTTTACTTATTTTCTTGGTTAATTTCCCTTTCGAATTCTCATATTTATTTTCTGATTTTACAAGAGTTTTTCTCCACTGAAATACATAAAGACAATCGAGTGTGAATCCTACATCCACAATTGTGATATTAATTATCGCTGCAAGTCTCATCTTTTCCAAATAATTGAATTGTCTTGTAATTATCTTAACTTAAAATGATAATTTGGTATTTGTCCTACCCATACCCCACATTGAAAAGAGTTAGGAGGGGTTATTGGTTCATGGATTTATAAGGAATTAGAAATCCAAACAAAAATCATTTGTTATTCAATCATTAATTTTAAAATCCTAATTAAAATTATGTGTTATTGGTTCTATTATTTATAAATATTAGTTAAAATCATATGTTATTCGTTTAGTCATTTGTTTTTGGATTTGAGAATCCAAATTATGTTTTAAATGGATTTGAATAGAATTGAAAGAGAAAAATCGAAGGATTCAAATACATGGGTAAACACATGTTATTTCAAAATCTATATATCTTGATTTCATAATTAATAGAGATTTTCAAATCTTATATGGATTTACAAACCAATAACACCCTCTTAGTTTCCAAAGAAATCTGACACAAGGTTAGTTTCTTAATTTTAGTGTAGAATTTGGCTATTTGCTAATATTACCCTAAAAAAATCACGAAAAAAATTTAAATATTTTTTAAATAACATGAATTTACATAAATTTCAGCAGACATTTAGAAATCGGTAACTAAATAAGATACGGTATAACACCGGTGCGCGACCGACTTCTTTTCTCTCCGTTCTCTTTCATAGCAGGTGACTTTCAGAGATATTTTCCGTCGTCAATTTCATCGCCGTCCCGATTTCATTTGGGCTTTAGAACTTCTCTCTCAGTTGGGTTTCTCTCTGAGCAGAGCTTTCTCCGGAAGATTTCAACGTTTTCTGTCCAGTTTTGGGAATTTCTTCTGCTGTAATTTCATCAGATTTCGGAGTGCTTTTATTCTGAAGGTTTCTCTTTTTGGATCTACTGGTCTGAATCTCAATTAATCCTAGTTTTTCTTCTCTTTGAACCAATTTCAAAGCTAGCAATCATTTTCACAAGGTGAAAGTTCACAGTGCTTCAAAGGATTCTCTGGTGATTACGAGTTTGCTGCGCATCTCTTAATGGATACGGTAATGGATCTGAACAAAGCGATTCAAGAGATGTCAATTGCAGATGATAAACCTCTGGTTCTTCCAAATCAAGCTAAGTTTTGTTCTACGGAGAAGAATCACTGCAGTATCATGGGAAGATTTCTGAATCCTAGTAATCAAAGGATGTCTAATTGGATCTTAGACATGCCCAGAATTTGGAGATTAAATAACAGGGTTCGTGGAGTGGCTTTATCTCAAGAAATATTTCAATTTATTTTCAAATCAGAAGATGACTTAGTTGAAATCTTAAAGACAGGAGTTTGGACTCAAGATGACTGGTGCGTGGTAATGGAAAAATGGATTGAAAAGCCTCCGGTGGACTACTTGATGTTTCTTCCAACTTGGATCCGTCTTCGTAATATTCCAGTCAATTATTACATGGAGGAAACAATTAAGGAGATTGCAAAATGTGCTGGAGAGGTGTTACAGGTTCTCTTTGATTCTGAAAAATCTCAAGCTCAAGATTATGTTCGAGTGAATGTTTTACTTGATGTTCGCAATCCCCTGAGAAACTCAAAAGAACTGCAGCTTCCTGATGGGGAGATAGTTCTCATAAGTTTTGATTATGAAAGGATACGAAAAAGCTGCTTCCAATGTCAAAGATTAATTCATGAGAAGAATATGTGTCCGTTTCACAAAATAGAAGAGAAAAATCATTCTTCTTCCTTACCAACCATCACTGAAAAGAACAAAGGTTTATTGCTTCCTACTAGTGAGCAACCTCAACCATCCCAAGCTTTACCTAAATTGCTAGCTGATGCCATGAAAGAAGCAACTCCTTCAAAGCAGTTAGTCTCACAAGGAAATAAAGATCTTGCGATATTTCCAGGTTTCTCTGCATCTGATTTTTATAAAGACTTCAATGAAGGTTTTTCTGAAGCAGGCTCCTCCGGTTTGAGTATGAGACAAAAAAATCTGAGAAAGAGGAAACCTTCTGTTCAAAACTCCATGACTGATTTAGCAGAAGAAGCACATGTTAGTAACTCTACTCATCACATTCAGTTTGATAAAGTTTTCAAGAGGAAATCTCAGATTTCAGAAAGTCAAGCTTCAAAATGCTTAAAGACAGATCAAACTACAGTGGTTCCTGATGAACCACCGATGTATCAGTAGGGCATCTTAAGCTGGAATTGTCAAGGGTTGAGGAATCCCTGGACAATTCGTAATCTTAAGGAAATGAAAAAGGATCATTTCCCAGATATCTTATTCCTCATGGAAACAAAAAAATTCTGATGCTTTTGTTTTGAAAGTTTTTAAATGGCTAGGTTATGATAAATTTCACACAGTGGAACCAGAAGGTATGAGTGGAGGATTGGCAATTTTTTGGAAAGAACAGTTGGATGTGAAATTTATTTCTGCAGATAAGAACCTTTTGGACATGCAAATTTCTCAAGGAAAAAAAAGCTGGTATGTCTCTTGTGTCTATGGAAATCCAGTTGTGACTTTGAGGTCTTTGCTTTGGGAAAGAATTAACATGTTGGGTGTGAACAGAAAAGAGGCTTGGTGTATGATAGGAGATTTTAATGATATGTTGTCTAATAAAGATAAGTTAGGTGGTCCTTTGAAATTGCTCTCTTCTTTTAGACCGTTTAAAGACATGTTAAATACTTGCGGTTTACATGAATTGGGTAGTACTGGAAATAGTTTTACTTGGGGAGGAAAAAGGAATTATCAGTGGATCCAATGCAAGCTTGATAGATGTTTTGGCAACTCTGCTTGGTTTTCAATGTTCCCCAATTCTCATCAATGGTTTCTTGAAAAGCCTGGTTCAGATCATAGGCCAGTTTTAGTCAAATTCATTAAAGATCAAGAGCTTTTTCGTGGTCAATTCCGCTTTGATAAAAGAATGGCAGACAACCCTTTACTTCGGAATGCTATTCACAGTTCCTGGAACAGTGAAATATCCAAGGGTAAGCATTCCTCTATTTTTAGCATTGCTGAATGCAGAAGAGTTATTCATGAGTGGAAGAAGTCCACAAATTACAATGCAAAGAGTAGAATTCAGAGATTAAGGAAAGAGTTAGATATGCAGTTGAGCCTCAAATTTCCTTGTTGGGACAAAATCAAAGTGATTAAAGAGCAGTTGAGTGTGGCTTTTCATGAAGAGGAAATCTTTTGGAGACAAAAGAGCAGTGAAAAATGGTTACTAGATGGAGACAAAAACACAAGTTATTTTCATGCAACAGTTAAATAAAAAAGAATCAGAAATGCTTTGAATGTCTTATTGGATGAAAATGGAATAGAGCATACTTTGAATATAGAAAAAGGTCAGATAGCTTCTGCCTTCTTTGAGAAACTCTTCAAGTCATCGTCTCCTTGTAGTGTAAATGCTCTTTTAGCAGGTTTTCAGCCTCGAGTTTCAGCTTCAATGAATTCAGCCTTGATCAAAGAGGTAACTGAGCAAGAGATCTACAAGGCAGTGTTCTCTATTGATAGTGAAAGTGCTCAAGGCCCGAATGGTTTCACAGCACTCTTCTTTCAAAAATATTGGACAGTGGTTAAAGATCAAGTTATTTCAGAGGTGACTGGTTTTTTTAAAACAGGGGTCATTCCTGAAGAATGGGATCACACACATCTTTGTTTAATCCCAAAGATTCCAAATCCTAACAAAATGACAGATGTTAGACCCATAAGCCTTTGTTCAGTCTTGTATAAGATTGTTTCAAAAATTATCTCTGCCAGACTCAAAGTCTTCCTTCCTCTCATTGCTTCACCAACGCAATCAGCTTATGTGGAGGAAAGGTTAGTCTCCGATAACATCCTAATTGCTCATGAAATCTTGCATAGCTTGAGAACTAATGAAAAGATGTCTACAGACTTTATGGCCTTTAAGACAGACATGTCTAAAGCTTTTGATAGAGTAGAATGGAGCTTTCTGGAAGGAATTCTTATTGCCTTAGGATTTGATAAAAAATGGATTTCTTGGATCATGGGCTGTGTAACTTCAGTTACATACTCTGTTTTAATTAATGGGCAACCCTATGGTTTTATTAAGCCTGAACGTGGTATTAGACAAGGGGATCCTCTATCCCCTTTTCTATTTGTACTTTGTACAGAGGCTTTGATTCATCTTTTAAATCAGGCCAAACAAGAGGGTAAAGTTGTAGGAATCCAATTCAACAATGCTGGGCCTTCTATCAATCATCTTCTCTTTGCAGATGATACACTTCTAATGTGTAAAGCTTCTAAAGAGGAATGCGAAGAAATCTTGCTATGTCTAGCTAAATATGAGAAGTTATCCGGACAGGTGATTAACTTAGACAAGTCTGCTATCACCTTTGGTGCAAATGTGCAATCAGATATCAAGAAGTGGATCCAATTAAAATCTGGAATCAAGGTTGAAGGTGGCACAGGGAAATATTTAGGATTACCAGAATGCCTAAGTGGATCTAAGCAGCAATTGTTGGGTTTTATTAAAGATAAGTTACAAGCCAGAATGACAGGTTGGTTTGCAAATTATCTATCACAAGGAGGAAAAGAAATTTTATTGAAATCAATTGCAATGGCCTTACCAGTCTACGCAATGACATGCTTCAAACTTCCAATCAGTCTCTGTAAAAGCCTGACAAGTATTATGATGAATTCTGGTGGAACAATCTTCAAGATAAAAAGAAAATTCACTGGTTAAGCTGGCAAAAACTTGCTATGCCTAAGTTCTTAGGCGGCCTTGGTTTTAGAGATCTTCAGTGTTTTAATCAGGCGTTACTGGCAAAGCAGGCTTGGAGGTTACTCAATGAATCAGAAAGTCTTTTTGCACAAATCTTCAAAAGTAGGTACTTCCTAAATTCTGACTTTCTAAATGCTTCTTTTGGAACAAAACCGTCTTATGCTTGGCGTAGTATTCTCCATGGTAGAAGTTTACTGAAAGATGGCTTGAAAAGAGTGATTGGTAATGGTGAAAAGACAAATGTGTGGATTGATAAATGGGTATTTGATGGCAAATCAAGAAGAGCTTTAGCTCTGAATTCTCTGATGAATATCAATTTGAAAGTTCAACATCTTATTGATCCAATCACTAGAAATTGGCATTGGAACAGATTGAAAGAGTTGTTTCCACAGGAAGAGGTTGAGTTAATTTCAAGACAGAGACCTTTAGTGTCTACTGCAGACTCTTTTTGTTGGGCTCACACAAGAAATGGACTATATACTGTGAAATCTGGATATGATTTGTGTAGCAGGTCAACACACAACAAGCTCTTCAAGGAAGCAGAAGCAAGACCATCTTTAAGCCCTCTCTTTGAAAAAATATGGAATATCAAAACGGCGCCAAAAATCAAAAATTTTATTTGGAAAGCTTTGAGAGGAGCTCTCGCAGTAGAAGACATGCTTAATTCTAGAGGTATTCTTGCTAAGGATGGTTGCTTATTCTGTGAACAGAGCATTGAAACAGTTAACCACATACTATTTCAGTGTCCACTAGCCAGACAAGTCTGGGCTCTGTCTAATGTGCCTTATCCTGTTCATGGTTTTCGAGATTCAATATATTCCAACTTGAATCACTTGGTGCAGATTTCCCAAACCAAAACAATTCCTCAAGATATCAGATATGTCAATCCTTGGATTCTGTGGATTCTATGGAAAAATAGAAACAAAATGCTTTTTGAAGGAGAGAGGGATTGGACCACTAAAATAGTGGATAAAGCATTTGAAGATGGTCACCAATGGTGGATTGTTCAAAATAATGGGATTCAAATGCCTGGAGCTCAAGATTTTTTGGAACAAAGATGGATTGCACCTCAAATTGGTGAGCTTAAATGTAACATTGGCTTTGCATGGTCCAGGAAAAAAGAATTATCAGGAGCTGCTTGGGTGGTTAGAGATTCTTCTGGTAAAGTGTTACTTCACAGTCGGAGAGCTTATACTCATGTACATTCTTTATTTGAAGCAAAACTTAAAAGCTGGGAATGGGCTCTAGATAGTATGAATTGGCACAATCTGCAGAATGTGACGTTTGCTGCTTCTTGTTTTGAAATCATTCAAGCTCTTAACAAACCAAAGGATTGGCCAGCTATCATAGGTCACATAACTGAGTTGTTGAGTTTTACAAATGATAAACCAAACTGGTTTGTTATCATGGAACAACCAAGAGCTAACAGAGGTGCTTATGAGATAGCAAATAGTGTCTTAACAGGTTTTAGAATGCAATCATATGTTGCCAGAGGGCATCCTCAATGGTTGAGTAAGCTATTTGAGACTGAAAGTCTTCAAAATAGAGATCATGTCTCTTGATGACAACGAGCTTTTACCTTTAGTAAAAGTTTTCTTTTTGTCCTCTTTGACCATTCTGGAGAAGGAGCAGTTGAGTAGCTTGAACGATGAGCTCCACGGATTATTGAAGAATTAGAGACTGCTATTCCATACTTTCAGACTAAAATTTGGAATGTGTGAATCCCTATGCAATGCCAATTCCTCAATATAATTCAAGCAAGAAGAAGTCTTCTAAGGGATCTAACTGCACTCCAAGTCTTGACACTGAAGTCAATTCACCAATCTCCTCAAAGTTTGAAGTAGGAGAATGTTCCAAACGCAAAAGAGACAAGAAGGATGGAGGATTTCAGATACCTCCAAAGAAACGTTAATTCACTCTGTCAAGAAATTTTTGGTAAGTTTGGAAAGATCAACAGAAGGAATTTTTGGCTCCTGCAGTGTCTTCTTGCAGGATAAAGACTGTTGACTAGGACAAAGTTTAGTTTTTAGTTAATATATCGTTCTTCAACTCTAAATCAGTTTAAAGACTCTCTTTTGTTCTTTTAAGTTTAAGTTTAATAGGGATTATCAATCTTCATGTGATGATCCAAAGTGTGTTCTTAGAATCAGACCTTAGTTATGTTGTGGATGTTTCCACTGTAATATATTTTTGTAAGGCTTGTGATGGTTTAATAATACGACTTGTGACAAAAAAAAAAAAAAAGATACGGTATGATTTTAATTAATTTTTTCCAAACAAAAAAAAAAAACAAATCCAATAAACCCACTAAAAGACCAATCGCGACCACAAAAACTTTAAAATCCAATTTCGCCTTCTCTCTCGCGTGCTCGTCACCGCCGGTCGTCGCCGCTCTCCTCCTCCACTACCACCGTGAGTTCTCTTTCGATGCTTTATTAGCCATTCCTCTTCTTCTCGTCT